GTGGAGGGGAAAGGAAGCTGCTATTTTTGTTAATGGAGGAAGAAAGTCTCCTGATAAATCCTCAAGTTCTAACTGGGCTCTGCCTGAGTGGCTGTGATGGTGGTTATAGCAAAGCAACCCGATCGATGGTCCAGGGGATGTGTTTTTGAGCGCTCACATTAGGGAAACCCTCTGTCTTCCCCAAAATATATAACCCCATTAATCAATCTCTGACTGAATTATGACCTCCAATCAGAAAGGGATTTGTGGGTAAAATTAGCATCTGTAAGCTTGCTTTCCATATTGACTGAGTTTTTAAGGACTAGATCAATGTGATGTAAAACTACAGGTGTGGGGAAAAACTTAGAAGAACCAAGTGAGCAGAAAAACAATTTCTACCGGGTTTGCTGAGTAACTTGTATATTTTTCAGTCCTTTATGGGAGTAAGTTTACTTTTATCTGAGGGAACTGAGCCAAAACCCGTAAAAGTCATAGAAAGAATTCCCATTGATTTCAGTGGGCTTTGGATCACAATTATTACTAAAAACTTAAACAACAAATGGTCTGGTAGCACTTTATAGATTAACAAAACATGTAGATGGTATCATGAGCTTTCATGGGCACGGCCCACTTCTTCAGATAACTGGAGTTCATCTGGTTATCTGAAGAAGTGAACCATTTGTTGTTTATGTTTAGTCTGTATGGGATAACTCGGCTACCCTCTGAAGTTACTATTATATAAGTGCTTGACTTTTTTTTTTTTTTTTTTAAACCAGTGGAACTTACCCTCACTTTCCTTTCTTGTGCAACCAGTAGTGGTGGTTTTTCAGCACATCTAATGTCATTTGGAGATCCTGCCTGATTTCTTGATGCAATCAGGTGATTAGGAACTCATAGATAATTGCATGTGTGGAAAGAGAGGTTTTGTTCACAAAACCCAAAAAACTACTGCAATGTCTACACTTAAAACAGCAACAGGAAGTTGTTCTCCCATCACTGTTGTCAATTGACCTCCCTGAGAAGCAGTGGCTAGGTCAAAGGAAGAATTCTTCTGTTGATATAGCACTGTCCCAACCTGGAAGTTAGGTTGCCTCAAGAATGTGGATAAACACTTGGAGACGTAGCTGTGCCATTATAAGTTTTCAGTGTAGACCAGCACTTAGGCATATACCATGTAAATGAAATGCAAACCATATAATCTGCTGTACATTTGAGAGAGTTTGTGCTTCTTTCTGTGTGTCTGTCCATTTGTCTGCGAGTGTGTTTGCTCAAGAACTCCTCTTAAACAGAAAGATCCAGGATCACCAGTATGCAGCTTCCTTTTATCATAATCAGGGATTGGTTTAGGGACATGAAAGACTAGTCGCTTTCCCTCTCTTGCTGCCTCTATCAGAAAGAATCAGATCCCGGGTTCCATGTGGCGCTGCTGCTATGAAATGCAGTGAGGAGCCCAGCGTCCGGTTGCAGGCAGCATTTCAAAGAAGCAGTGCCATGTAGAGCCCAGGATCAGCTGGAGTCCCTAGCTGCTCCCAGGCTCCACGTGGTGCTTTTGCTTTTGAAGTATAGGAAAAGCCAAAGGGCAGATTTGCCCTATTGACTAATCAAATAGTCGATGTAAAATGCATCAACTATTCGATTAGTCCATCGATATTTAACATCCTTAGTTTGGCTGTGCCAGGACATTGAGATGTGTGTGGGATGTGATTTTCTCATCAAATCAGAAGGGAGAGGGGTGATAGTAGGGACCGTTATACCCCCAGAATGACCACATAGGAGCAGCAAGCACCCCAGCCACAGAGATCAGCCATCAACCGGGCTGTACAGTCCCTGCCATCCTGGCCTGCCCCAGGGAGCTATTGGTAGGCAGAGTGCGGGGCCCCCGCTGATCCCTGGGCTGGTCCTGAGGACAAACTGCAGACCACCCTCTGCTACCCCAGTACCGTAACAAGGGCAGGGTAAGCAGGGCACTCGTCCAGGGTACATCATAATCAGGGGCGCAAAGACACAATAAGTAAACTAATACGCTGCAAAAGTAAAGAGCGTGACATATGCTAGCCCAAGGCAAGGGGGTGCATAATTAATATTTTTGCCCTGGGCACAAAAATACCTAATTACGCCACTGGCCACCCCCACCATCTGCTCTGAGCCCTCCACTCCCTCAAGTCCTTGCCTTGACTCCTGCACCCACAGCCACCTGCCCTAAAGAACCTGAGCAATGCTGGGTAAGTTGTCTATTTTCCAAATAAACAATTATGCCATCAGTGTTTAGTCTTCAAATTTTTCATAATCATGAAAATCAGCAATAATGTGTTAAGTGGGACACACCTTGAAAAAATAATTTGGTGCTTAAAGGTGATTTTGCTTTTGCTGTTACAAACTTCCTAAAAAAGGCCAAATTGTGGCATTAATGTCAAATAATCACTACTTGTTTTTTTCCTGTTTTGAATCTATGTTTAATATAAAATGTGCTTCGTGACCATATTAGATGCATGTAATACAGTGATTAGAAGTCAGGAATTATATACACAGTCACAGACTGTGCTCATGCTATCCTGGGATATAACTGCTTATTCATTAGATTATTTTTCTGAGTTCCCGTCTTCTGTTGCTGTTGTTGCCTGCCACAGAAAGTGAAGATGGGCTTTTGAAAATGATTAGTCTATAGACTATATGCTTACTTTCACTGATGGGAATTTTCACACCACGGGACTCAGCAGTGAAAGTGCCTTTGCCTCCAGTTCCTGAGTTGCCCTAGCTCATTAGATATCAGAAGCCAGGGGTTTCGGGAGGGACTGAGAATTGTTAGTCTGGGCCAAGGCGACGACAAGTTTTAACTCTCAGGATGGGGACCTCGAATGAGTTGAACCCTGATCAGAAGTCATTTGTAGAGGGCCTTTCTGTGGTATGCTCTTGGGGAGAGACACTTCACTGTGCTTTTAAGAAGGTGTGTGCATAGGGTTTTGGGAGGAAGGCGTGCTAAAGTGGATTTAAGCCTCCTTTGTGTACTCTCAAAGCTGAACAGGTCCAGGGCCTAGGACAGGGATGGGGGGAACTTTTTTGGGTCGGGGGCTGCTGACCAAAAAAACTCAAAAAAATGGCCCTCGCTGACATTGCTCCCAATCGAGGAGAAAGATACACATTCCCCCACATTGCCCTTGTACACCTGAAGCTAGGAGATTTTGTGTGCTCCAGCCTGTGGAGGAGACTGAAAGCCCTGTGGGGATGCCCTGAGCATTGGGACCTGTATCCAAGGAAGCAGGCCCCCAGGCCTGAGGTTCCTCATCCCCGGGCCTACAAGGTTCTTTGGCATAATCAGACAACAATGAGCTGTTTAAATTCCAGCACCCTGTGCAGCCTACAGGATGGAAATGTTTCTCAAAAATCTCCACAATGTTTCAAACTGCAGTCAAGCCTGTGATGTGTCCTCCTCACCCCTTGCTCAGGAAACTATCCCTTAGCAGGACTTACGAGCGGGTCATCAGCAGATCACTGCAGCTGTCTTCCACAGGCTTGTTGCAGGGAAATTCTTCAGAAGGAGCTAGGGATTTTTGTGCTTCTCTATGCCACTGTGGCGGTTTTACCCACCATACAGGGTCTTCTCCTTAGGCCTCACCTTGCTATGAATAGGGTTTCCAGATGTCTGGTATTGACCCAGATAGTCCAGTATTTTTGCCTGTCTGGTTAAAAAAAAAAAAAATCAGAAAATTCCGGACACCTAAAATGTCCGGTATTTTCTGATTATCCCCCCCCTCACCCCCCCTCACCCCCCGGTCAGGAGGCGAAAATACCAGTTGCTTACCTAGTTCCGCAGGGGAGCTGTCTGGCCCGGAGCAGGAAAACAAGATGGCAGACAGCCTCTTAGGGCCAAAAAGCCCCAAACGCATTTCTTAAGGGGGCCACACTGGTTGTTTTGGGGGTTTTTTTTTAAATTTTTTGCTTAAATCTCAGGCCCTTTTGGCTCAACAACTTTGGTCTCCCCCCCCCCCCCTTTTTTTTTTCCTCAACAGAATTTTTTCTCTGGTAGGTGTTTTTTTGCGGAGGGGGGGAGGAAGCAGAGGGAGGAGTGTTCGGTATTTTTGGTTAAACCATCTGGCAACCCTACTGGTCAGTCCAGAAAGTGACTATTTTGGAATAGGGATGCAAATGTAGGCATTCAGAATTGCAAATCAATCCCTGGATTTAACTATCCCGCGCTTGATTTGCATCTTCCTGGCCGGGCGCCTTCTTGTTTTTCTTTTTTTTTTTTTTTTTTAATTTACAAGCCCGGAATAACTGCCCACGTCTACATGCGACAGTGAAACTAGCATTCAAAATAATGCCCTATTTCAAACTACCTGTTAAACCTCATTGCAGGAGGAATAACAGGTAGTTCAAAATAAGGCTTTATTTCAAACACCCGTTTCACTGCTGCGTGTAGACGCAGGCAGTTATTCCAGGCTTGTAAATTTCAAAAAATGGCACCTGGCCGGGAAGATGCAAATCAAGCGCGGGATATTTAAATCCCGGGCTTGATTTGCAATTCTGAATGCCTACATTTGCAGCCCTATTCTGAAATAGACTGCAAGTGTAGACATACCCAGACAAATTTAGATGTTTAGAAGAGATGCTGGAAAGGGGATTTTATGTTGACTCTGGAAATTTTAAGAAGATAGCTTTTTGAAAGTATATAGCTGGTCGTAGCAATAACATTTAGTTTCTAAGTATGCGGTATTCAAATAAAACCCCCAGTGATGGAAATCATACACGGGAGGAGAAAGAAGATAGGTGGCCTTAGTTTTTAAACAAGTTTTGATATTTTAAAATAAGACTTGAATGCAGGTTTTGTAGGATTTGGGACCAATCTGTGAATTTTTGCATAAAATAAAGTAATTTCAGGTACGATTATAAAAAAAAAAAACCCAACTCATGCAGTTCATGCTTTAGTATGAATGAAAAACCATTTATGCTTTGGTCATAAATACACTGTCATTTCACTGTGTGTTCCTGTTTGGATAAGAAATACTCTTTTTCTCTCTGAACAGTGATTCCCTGGAGGCTTCACAGCCTGTTGCTTATACCGCTGCCTCAGTGAGGAGCATGCCTGCAAGCCCAGGCAAAACTGAAACTAGTCCAGCTGCAGCCAATATCAAAATGGGGACAGCCTTTAAACCAACTGGATCTCAGAGTTCTGTCAAATACTCAGGCTGGCAACCATCGAACCAAGCAGGTAACTTTAAAGAACCCTTTTTCTTATTTATTTACACAACGTTAAATACCTTATTAAAATAGTCAATGTTATTTAACCATAATAATTAAACAATATTTAAATTTAGATTATTTAATATGGTTTGCTCATCCAATTTTGACATTTAATAATATTCATTTCTGTTACTTTTAAAGTCAGTTTTATTTTAAGTTTACTTGACTCTATATCGTTTTTGTGAGTGTCCCTTTTATGTAATTGATTTTTCTTATGAATAAAAGCTGGAGTCTCAGTTCCCTAGTTTATTTATTAAAGTCAGATAAATTATATTTAAAATGTTGTAAGGGTCATTTTCCAGCTGTTTCTAAGGCTTATGAAGGAATAGTTTGTCTAAGTGAAGTAGGAACATACATATAACCACATAGTCACTATGCCCTTCTCAAAGCTGGGTTTTATATATTTTGGAAACCATTCATCAGCATCATGCGGAGCTGGTTAAGTGTTTGGCATTTCTGGTATGTTACCTTTGGTACCAAAAAGGGAATATGCATATGTTGGCATTTCAGCAAAACAACAGTTATTTTTCAGTGTGTTAATGGGGTTTTCAAGCAGATTTTAAAGATTGGTTCTTGTAAGAATAATCTGAAAGTTTATTAACGTTGATCATGGTTTAGTACATTTTTCCAAGTGCACCACTGTTGAGAGCATACTTATGGAGAATATAGTCACGGTCACTTTTTAAAAACTAAAAGAACAGGACAATAGTGTGATCCGGGAGAAAAGGTTTGCTTTCACTAAGTATTTGTTTTAAGAAACATACCACATGAAAATTTCATCTTGATTTTGTGTTAGTGACATATAGTATCTTGAGGCAACATAACCCTTTTTAATTGCATTGCTTCCCAAACTGAGATTATCTTTTACCCCAGGCTATACTTGAATATAGGTTTATAAATAACCAGGGAAGTTTCTCTTGATGATTTGATTATAACCAAGGGTATGTCTACACTACCACCCTAGTTCGAACTAGGGTGGTAGTGTAGACATACCCCAAGAGTTTTCTCTTGTGTTTCTGATGGAACATGAGCCATAATTTTTAATCCCACTAGTAAGGGCATTTTTTGAAAAAATCCTTACAGGTTAGAAGATAAATCTCAGTAAGTCCAGTGTAAAAATGGTGTTAATACTGTATGTTTTATAACGGGGTCTTAGGAACATATAATATTATTGTGTCTTTGGTAAAGATGACCGTATATGCTGGTTTGAATATGCAGTGCTACAAAAGATCCTCATGATGGCAGTATGCTGTAACATCTATATTCATTTGTGGCACTATCACAGAATAAGGATCCTACAGCCGCAGAATGTGACTGACACAATTAGAGTTAAATTTAAGTCAGTCTATATATTTACTGAATTTTTGTCTTAAAATTAGCTATTTAAAAAATATCCTGTTAAAAGATATGCCTTCAGATCATCGTGCAGTTGTATTGAGCCTTACTGTGACTGAGGCACCTGTGTATATTTAGTGACATGTCATATATTTGATTAATTTATGAATTCTTTCACAGTGTACTGGTGCTTATTCCACACGATGATTTTATTTGCAGAGACCCATTTCAATACTTGGCATTTCAGCAGTGCACAGTTAGTTTTCAGTGTGTTAATGGGGTTCTTGTTGTAAAATCCCACTATTGGAAATTAAATGTAATGCTTAAAATTAAATTTAATGCTTAAAATGGATTGCTTGGGTGAATGGGTGATGGGTGCCATATAAGCATGGAGAAAGAATGAATTAGGCTTCTTATTGATCTTTTTAAACGTATGAACATACTCTACCCATTGGGAAAATGAGTATTGTATTTTGGTGGTAGCACAGCAGAAACAGGGTCTGATTCTTTTTTTTGTTTGTTGAGCCTGAGTTCAAGGCTTTTGATAGTGGGTGTTTTTTCTTTTTTTCCTATTCAAGCATTTTCTAAAAATTACAACTCTTTGAGGCATCTAGATATTGGAGGGAGGGCTGCATGGATAAAGGGTCCAGTTTTACATCATTAGGCCTCAACAGTGTTCATTTGACAATTCTCTAAGAGCCATACAAACTGATAATGCCAGATCAAAGCATTTATTAGTGTGAGTTTCAGCTAGGTTGCTACAATCCGGTATTTTACCTGAATGATAGCAACTTCATTCTGTTTGCTAGCAGGCACAAGAGAGCTTCTGATGTGGTAAAGTGTTACTTTGACTAATCAACACTTAACCCCATGCACAATAAAGTAAGAAATCCTAAAAACTTCCTTTATCCTAGTTCAGGGTGATCAATCAACTATAGTGAAGTTCTGTGCAGACAGTGACCACAATCCCCATTAGCCTATTGTCCTACTGGAGAATTTTGTGGTAAATATGTTTAGGAGAGCCATGTTTATATTGCCTTAAATGTGCCCAGCTTCCTTCAGAGCTACATCTTGGGTCATTATCTGTTGCAATAAAAATATAGTTGAGGCTAAGAGTTGAGGCTTTCTGGCTTTCCTTATGTCGTATTATTTTACTTGCCTTGTTGTCCTTTAGACTGCCTATGTCTAAATGCAGTTTGGTTGTTAGAACATTGAGAAAAAAGTATAATTTCTGCCATTTCTAAATATTTTTATTTTATTTACTCTTTAAAACCATCTGAGCTTCAGTCCGGCAGGATAGTATAGGTAGGTATGCTGTCACTGTGTTGAGAAATAATGAAGAGGCTGCATTTCATGATTTGATTGAAATGTTAACAGCCGCCAAGGTATCTCAAGCTTGACCAGAGATTATATTACAGGTTTCGTTTGAGATCTGCCCTTTAAACCTGACGTAAGCTCACCTGTGGTTTTATATAGCATGCGTTACCCAGAAGTCTTTGAAGAAGGTAGTAACGCAAAACCAGCAGATGAAAGAGATCTAGGCATGGTTACAACAGCATTACAGCAGAGATTGGATCATCTTCTTTTTCTCAGGCATATATTTTACAAAATGGAAACCTTTAAGATCTCTGTCAGCCTAAACTTACGCACTGAAGTTAAGACCAGCAACTTTTCTCTGACAAGCACAACTGCTCAGGAGTACAGCATTTTGATAACTCTAATCACATGTTTAGGAAAAAGAGTGAAGAATTTCAACCATTCTGAGGTATATTTTATATTCAGGCACTAATTCTATTTCCTGGCTGCATTCGTTCTAAGAAGAATGCTGGTTTTCATTTTGACTCGTATCAAATGTTAGTACACAGCATTGTTAAAATATTTCATACTTTTAATTCCCTTCATAAAAATTGGAAGTCTGTCTTCGGAAATAATTAAAAGGCAGAAGAAATCTATTTGTATTCATTTGCTGTTAGTAGCAGGTTTATAATATTTGAAGATGATTTCAAGTAACAGCTTGTAGTATTTGTAGCATTTGGGGCAATTTAAAAAATGTATCTTGTACATTATATCATGTTGTACCTGTCGCAAAGCTGAACACTGGTAGGATTTGGCATCCTGTCCCCAGAAGATGCAGATATCCGTTGTTGGGATCACTTTTTTTATATATAGCATGAGCATTATGAGTAGTTTTATACAACTTCTTATGGCAGAAATCAATCACTAGTCAGGTAACATCCTCTAGCAGGCCTACAATAAGCAAGAAATAGATTAAGATTTCTTCCCCCAAAAAACCATAGTAAGTCGAACTCAAGAGGGTCATCTTCTAGTCAGCACCAGCAAGAGGTAGTGCAAGAAATTCATAGGCTGATCTACTGAGCAAAATAGAAAAGATTTTCTATGTGAACAGCACAGCATCATCTGTCTCCCTTTATCTCTGCTGTTCTGGGCTATCTGCTAACAATAAGGTATCATGAACAGTCCCAAACTTTTATTTTCCCGAATTCCTCAGAGGTCTAATTTTATTTTTTCTCCCAATCTAGGAAGCCCCCTCCTTCTTGAACCTTCAAAATAGGTTTATCTAACTTAATTGGACACCTTTTTGAACCCTTAGCTTGAATCTTTTTACTATTTATGCAGGCTTCCTTATCTGCCAGTGTTTCTCCTCAAGCCTCATTCAATTTCAGGAGAAGCTAAACTTCACAAACTTGGTATAATAAGGGCAGCCTCTTTTTACATTGATAAGACAAATCTAGTCAGAAAATACCTAGACATTAGTGGCCTTTGTATGGGTCAGGCTGTATTCTTAGAGATGACTTAAGAGGGCCTCCAGCCTGCATAAAGACATGTAATGAGTAAGCTAGCCACCTCTGGAGCTTAGGCAGTCCTTCCTGACTGTTTGTTTGAAGAATGTCCCTAATTCTGAGCTCTGTGGAGCAGCTACATGGAGCTCAGTCCACACATACACAAGTGTCTGCTGATTGGTGATAGGGATATGAATGGTTAACCAGATTTCGTCTACGTTGCCTGCAGGCCAGGCTCAAGTCAGTCTACTAAGAAAGACCACATCAACTCCATGGTGACCATTCCTACCAGGGTCGCCGCCTACTTGATTTGGTGGTTAAACACAGACAAGGTACGAGTGGGAGTCTCCTTCTCTGCTCCCCTTCCCCATGTGATCATTGTTACAGACACTTCCATTCTCAGATGGGGCATCTGTCTGATCAGTCACACCATGCAGAGCATGTGAAAGCCCAAATTATGTACCCACTTAGAGCTGCAGGCAGTCTGCCTTGCATGCAAGGTCTTTCTCTCACTCATTTGCTTTCTTTTCAGCCAGCTAATGTCAGAATATAATCACTGTGATCTGCATAAACAAGGAGGAGTACGGTCTCCTCTGCTTTGTCTGGCGGTAGTTGGACTTCAGAACTGGTGCATCAGGCACAACGTCACTCACCAATGGCATGCCTCCTGGGTATTCACCACTTCTTAGCAGACACTTTTCAACAGACCACTAATAGGAAATCCACAACTTCATGCTGACAAACCTTTTCATGTGGTGAATCACACCTCTGTGGGACCTCTTTGTCTCACAAATGAACAAAAACACCTTCATGTTATTCCAGGGAAGCCACA